CTATCTGTCTGTCTGTCTGCCTGCCTGTCTGTCTGTTCGTACATTTGTCTGTTTTTGCTCCTGTAACGCTACCTTAAACAGCACCAAAGTGGCCAAACAATACTTCAAACGGCCGAGCCCACCTAGAGTGCCCACAAATTTCGCTGAAGATTCAGCGTTCATACTTGTGCGATTGTCAAATGAAAATAAATTATTGCGCATTCTGAGGCAGCATAACAATACGTCAATATTATCTACGCGTGTCTCTTACTAGAAAAGGCAATTGGTTTTTCTAAGGCCCGTAGCATGTGTCACGTTGCGCTGACCATGCAATGCTTGCTTGAAAAGGCAAGTGCTTTCAGCACTTTGCTAAGACGCACAGTGGTGGCCCCTACCCGTCCCCTTGCGTTCTACACCTTATCACCTCCGAGACGGCCACGCACGCCAGTCTCACAGCCGACATTTCCATTTCAAAGGTAACTGCGGGATAGCACTCATGTCTCACGTGTGACGGGACTTGATGCACTCGTTCGCCTTTGCTGCATGCTCGAGGCACTCTAACGCAGCGCTTCTTGAATACCATTAACCAATTTGTTTACGCAGAAAATCAAATGACCGTTTTGTTCACTTTCTCCAGACGCTAGACAATCGTCTTTCGTCTACATTTGCAGTGTAATATGCAGATACGAGGCCAATTTTTTAACATAGGTATGATGGCTCTAGCTAGGGATCTTTATAACAATGACATTGGTTCCACTATCTATGTCGATGACACCACCCTTTGGTTCCGGGAAGGGGGGGGGGGGGATGGGGCTCGGAGGGCCACTCCGAGAGTACGCTCAAAGAAGCTCTAGGAACGATCCAGAAACAAATTTCTCGCATGAGCCTCGCGTCATCAGACAAGTCCAAGCTGCTTAATTGTTTACCAACCCATTCGTATGGGGCGATGCCCTACTGAATGGGTACCAACCATGAACATTGACATACATCTGTTCACAAAGAGCGGTGTGAGAATCCCCCGCAAGGGCATTATACGCGTACAAGGCATGTTCATTTCTGAGAACGGCAGGAATGCAACTATGATACAAAAGGTGCACCAGTGCACTGCTGCCACCGTTCGGCTTATTCAAAGGATCTCTGGTAGACGACGACGCATCAAGGAGGACAACCTCCTTCCAGTATTTCATACCTTCCTTTGAAGTTGTATCAATTACGTTGCCTCTATTCACATTCGTACTACTGCTGAAAAGTCCGAACTAGAAGTCTTGAGTCGACAGGCTGTCAAAAAGGTTTTGGGCCTCCCTTCTCGAACGAGTACCATAAAACTGGAGGCGTTGGGTGTTCATTGATTTGTGGGGTTTAACGTTCCAAAACTACTACTTGATTATGAGAGACGCCGTAGCGGAGGGCCACGGAAATTTTGACCACCTGAGGTTTTTTAACGTGCACCCAAATCTGAGTACACGGGTCTACAACATTTCCGCCTCCATCGGAAATGCAGCCACCACAGCCGGGATTTGATTCCACGACCTGTAGGTCAGCAGCCGAGTACCTTAGCCACTAGACCACCGTGGCGGGGCACGTTGGGTGTTCAAAACAAGCTCGACAACTTAATAGAAGCACAGCGTACTGTCTAGATTTGCCGACTTTCGTGCACTAGAGTCAGAAGTCATTCTATCTAGAGCAGGCATCACCTCTCCTCTGAATAAAGAGAGTGGATTTTCTCATACAGACACTACATGGTTAACAATCATGGTTCATCAACTTCCACTAAAATGCATCTGGTACATATTCAGGGTAGAAAAAAAGCGTGGGCTAAAGCCCTCCTCTCTAATTGAAACCCCAGAAGCGAAAATCCGCTCTTTGTAGACGCACCTTGGTCGGGATGGAAAAGCTTTGATGCCACTGTGATTCGCACTACAGATTGGGCAGAAAATCCTTTACAGATCCACACAAAGCTAACAAGGAGACAACAGATAGTCCTTCGACTCCTCAAAACTAGCTTAATTTCTTCGCCAGCCATTGTGACGCTGTATACGAATATTTCCCCTAACTTCTCGGCATGCGATCAGCTCTCCATCTTCCCTCATATCGTGTAGTAATGCCCCCGCTTGTGCGTTTCAACAAGGAGGCATCTGTTAAGCGAGACAGACTTCTTAGGATTTATCGCAAGTCTCCGCCTTGCGAAACAACTCCGGGCGGTCAAGCGAGCCTGTGAAGCGATCGGGAACCTCTCATTCCCGACTTCGTCACAGGTGCAGCTCTGGGTGGGCTTTTAGAAACCTTATTCCCAGGACGCAAAAAAAAAAACTTTTTCTGTTTGCCTGTTTGTCTGTGGTAGCGAACGTCGTCAAACACTTCGTGGTAAACAGTGCCATATAACCACTGTTTGTCACTAGTTTGCGCGTATGTCCCACAGGTAATTGAAACGTCATATCTACCCTAAAACGGCAAAAAACTCTCATGAGAAATTTAACGTTCTAGTATTTTGAAAAAGCTGACATCCTCCGCGTTCTCAGAACGAACGCATACAATAAATATCATGGTCTCAGCAGGAATAGAACCCAATCATTCGGCTGGCAATCAAGTATTTTATCAAAGAACCACGCCAGGTCTTGGAACTAATTTTCAAATGAACTGTAATGTTGGTGAAACGTCAATGGTGGTTACAGTGCTCGCTATTGAATTTTACACACATCACGTGTGTACTCCTATCATACAGCCGTCATGTCGTGCTAACGCCAATAGTAGTTAGGTGGCATTCGCCAAAGTTGGTTTAAGTAGCAGTGTCCAGGGCTCCAATCTTCGCGAGCACCAGCGCTATATATCAGCTTATCGCTTCTGGTGTTGCTAATACTAATGTTTTTGGTATTGTTCCGCAAGTGCAAACCACTCATTAAGTAACCATATGCACTGTTCAACACGTGCTTATGCGTGCAACAATTTTGCGTATATTTTGCGTAATCCCATGACACGTCGCTCAATCATAAAATACAGCATTGTCCCTTTCACTCCGTATTCTTCACAAAACGCCGATTCTCGAGGTACGTGGGAACTGCAGAATTTTTTTACTTTCAACACCAGACTGCGGAAAATAAAGATGTTATGGGCCGTGAGCTAAAAGCCACTAAACGGCTTGACGAGGCTCATGGGTCCTTGAACTTGACGCTAAGAGGAAACAAGAACCCCGGAGCAGCAAAAATATACGTTGCATCGTTCTTCGACACGAATTTATTTCCACATAATACGTCAACGGACATGAGATCAAAACAATACAATGGAACTGTACACACGGAAAGCCTAATGACCTATAGAGTAACAGTATTCAAAGCGTAGGTTAGTCATATTTTACACATTATTAACAGCGAGCAAGATAATATAAATATATATATATATATATATATATATATATATATATATATATATATATATATAAGGGAAAGAAGTGCTTACAAACAAAGGGCTCGTTTTTCCGTGTTTTGACACAATAATGATGAGATCTAACAGACAATAATGCAATAAAATGTATAGGGGGAGTTATTAAAACAAATGTAAAGTGAATAAGAAAAAAGAAAAGTGGGTGAAAAAATAACCTCCCGTGAGGAGGAATCCAACCTACGACCTTAGAATAACGCGTTCGATGCTCTAACCACTGAGCTATCACAGCGGATTTTCCTTCATACACTTTTTTGGGTTTATATTTAGAAGTGGGAGTGTCTGTCAGCGCCATCTATAAGCAAAGCGGCGAGTGTGAAACACCCTTTTCTGCGCATGTGTGGCGTCACGTAGCACGTGAAATTTTTACGAGCGGGCAGCTGACCAATAGTCCGTCGTATACAACCTAATGACACTAAGTCTGCCAGTACGAGACCCTCGTTAATGAATAAGGGAAAGGAGTGTATACCTAAGGGCTCGTTTTTCCGTGTTTGGACACACTAATAATGAGATCTAACAAACAATAATGCCAAGGAAAGTATAGGGGAAGTCATTAGAACAAATGGATTTTAAATAAGAAGAAAGAACAGTGGGTGAAAAATAACCAGCCGTGAGCAGCAATGGAACTTACGGCCTTCGAACAACGCGTTCGATGCTCTAACCACTGAGCTATCACAGCGGCCTTCCCTCCATCCACTTTTTTGGGGTTATTATGTGAATATAGAAGTGGGAGTGTCAGTCAGCGCCATCTGTAAGCCAAGCAGCGAGTGTGAAACACCCTTTTATGCGCATGTGTGGCGTCACGTAGCAGGTGAACTTATTACGAGCGGGCAGCTGAGCAATGGTCCCTCGTATACAACCTAATGAAACCAAGTCTCCCAGTACGAGACCGTCGTTAATGAATGAGGGAAAGAAGTATATACTTAAGAGCTCGTTTTTCCGTGTTTTGACACAATAATTATGAGATCTAACAGACAATATTGCCAAGGAATGTATAGGGGAAGTTATTAGAACAAATGAAATGTGAATAAGAAGAAATAAAAGTGGGTGAAAAATAACCAGGCATGAACAGGAATCGTAGGTTCGATTTCTGCTCACGGCTGGTGACTTTTTGTATGTTGTATATTGTTGCTTATTTGAAGTGTCAATAGGTGTGAAGTGTGCAGCACATGAAAGTGTTAAGTACGCGAAAAATTTTATGCGCACCAAATTTAGAAGAGATTCTTCTGGCTGCTGTAATCTAGTGACACGGATCTCATCTCCATGATGATAGGGTCTCTTCTCGTTTTCCACACAGTTTTTAACTTGTACTAGGGTGCTGATCAGTGAGCCGCATTCCGCGGTATTAGTACAGTGGTGCAGCAGCGTAATGTTGCGTTTGACTGCACAACACGAAGCCTGATCATGCAGCAGCATCCAAGTATCTGTCTACAAATGAATAAATAAATCAAGCTCCCACAAATTCTCAGCACACACTGGAAAACAAGTTTTACTTGATATGTAGGCAAAACCTGTCTGACTAACGTGGTGTGGTGGGTGTACGCAAAAGTTCACTCGCCTTTCTTGTCATATAGTCTTTCACTCACCTTTTTGGCTTCAAGCAGTGCAAGTGTGATTGATGTTGCCGAGAAAGTAATGATGCAGCCCGCATAGAAGTAGTAGAGGTCCAGTATCCACACTGTGATACTGGCTATTTGGAAGACGTAAAAAGGGTGCAAGACCTGTGAAAAAGCGCTGACGTCATGTTCCGACTAACTGTGTCATATTTTAAATAACTACACGCAAATTAATAGACATTTATTTACCTTTTCTAAGAGGAGCGTAGTGACAGACTTTACTTGCTAGCTCCATGGAGTTTCTTCCGTACAACAACGATCTGAAAATATAAATTCTTACAGTTATACTTTATTCGATAAATTTATTTGGTAAAAACTTTTGCGCTTGCACGAGCACAACCCAACGGGCGTTAAACATTTAGCGCCAGTTGAAACCTTTGCCATAAATTGCCGAAATATAGTGTCCTACTGGTTCAAGAAAAACAAGCCCGGATAAGTTCTCCTATTCCTCAGGGACTCAAAAAAAAAACATATCAGATGACCTCCATGGCGAGATGACGGAAGATGATCTGTTATTTATGCAAAAGAAATATCGTAGGAGAAACCGTAGGTGGCCCTTTCAGAAACGAAGCTGTACAAACACATACAGAAAACCAAGATTAAGGTCGCTGTGTACACTCTATATTGCAGAAAATAATGCTCGATTATAATTACGAACGCACAATTCTTGCTTGTTATAATATACATTGGTCTTCATTGACACTTACGGGCGAAGTGGCATTTCGATGAGTTCAACTGAAGTCCGGCTCGACAAAAAACTTCAAGAATCGACGATGCCTTAGACTGCCTTTACGGTGCTACGTATTTTTCCACTATCGACCTTCGATCTGGCTATTGGCAGATCGCTGTAGACGAGATGGACCGTGAGAAGACCGCATTCGTCACTTCTGACGGTCTTCATCACTTCAAAGTTATGCCTTTCGGTCTGTGTAATGCGCCGGCCACATTCGAAAAAATGATAGACTCATTGCTCCAAGGGTTGAAATGGTCAACCTACTTATGTTAATCAGACGACGTTATGGTTTTCTCACCCACATTCGACTCAAATCTCGATCGTTTATCAGCGATTCTTGAAGTTTTTCGTTGAGCTGGACTTGAATTGAACGTTTGGAAATGCCACTTCGCTCGCCGTCAAATAACCGTACTTGGCCACCTCGTCGGATGCCGCAGGATCCTGTCCGCCCGGATCCCGAGAAAATTCGCGCTGTCACGGATTTTCCTGTACCGAAGTCAAAAAGGATGTTCGCATTTTGTGGACTTGTGCTCCTACTTTCGACGGTTTGTTAGGGACTTCGCGATCAATACACGCCCACTCACAAACCTCTGAAGAAGGACACCCCATTTTTCTGCGGCGCTGATCAAGCCTCATCTTTTTCTCAGCTCACGACGCTCCTTACAACACCGCCATTTTAGCTAATTTCGATCCATCAGCTCCAACCAAGGTTCGCACTGACGCTAGTGGGCACGGCATAGGGGCAATGCTATTGCAACACTAACGCGAACATGACCGCGTTATAGCATATGCAAGCCGACTGCTATCTACCGCCTAGCGCAACTTTTCAATCACGGAGCGTCAGTGTCTCGCTCTTGTGTGGGCAGTCGCCAAGTTTCGCCCATACTTATACGGGCGTACATTCCGGGTAGTCACCCGACCACCATGCGCTCCGCTGGCTGGGCTAACTCAAGGATCCCACAGGACGCCTCGCTAGTTGGTCGCTACAGTTTACGAAGAATACACGTTCACCGTAACTGTTCAAGCAGGGTGGTCGCATCAAGATGCGGATTGTTTGTCATGCTTTCCTGTGGAAGAAGCTTCCCATACTCGGCACCATTCCAGACCTTCCGTCTGTAACGCAGCTACTCAAACTTGGCCACGAACAACGCCAGGATGCTTCCCTGCGAACCATCATTGACAAGCTTGAGTTAATGCCTCGTGATGCATCTCTACAAATGCCCGTGGTCAATGACGGGATTCTGTATCGCCGTAACCTCGATCCATATGGCCATGACTTGCTCCCCGTCATACCAGCACATCTCCATGCGACTGTCCTCAACAAAACTTCATGACGCTCCTTCGGCGGGCCACTTAGGCGTCTCTCGCACATACGACCGTGTACCTCGTCGTTTCTTTTGACCTGGTCTTCGCCTGTTTTGTCCGACGCTACGTCACCGCTTGTGAGCCCTGCCAGCACCACAAAAAGCCATCCTTCCTACCAGCTGGATTCCTTCAGCTGATCGACATTCCCACTGAACCTTTTTTTCGAGTTGACCTCGACCTGCTTGGCCCAGTTCGCGATCTCCAGCTCAGGCAAGAACGGGAGTGCCGTCGCCACTGACTATGCGACACGGTACGCTATCACACTAGCACTTCTGACGAGTTGCGCAACCGATGTGGTGGACTTTCTGGTATATGATATTATTTTATTATACGGAGTTCCACGCCAACTTCTCAATGACCGGGGCCGGACCTTCCTATCAGCTGTCGTTGCTGAAATACTGCGCTCTTGCTCTGCCAAGCACAAGTGTGCCACTTCGTACTATCCGCGAACGAACGGTCTTACGGAGCGCCTCAACCGCACCATGAACTGACATGCTTTCTAAATACGTAGCGGCCAACCACCAGGACTGGGACGTTCATTTGCCATTTGTGACGTTCGCATATAATTCGTCACGTCATGGCAGTGCCGGCTATTCGCCAATCTATCTTGTATACGGCCAAGAAACTGCCCTATCCATTGACACCTTGCTGCCCTCGGTCACTCAGCATGCCGGTGAAGCCATCGCGAGAGCCGACCACGCACGCCAACTCGCCCGCAGCCGTCTGCAGGTCTCAAAGGAGCACCAAAGACAGCTCTACGATTCCCATCATCGAAACGTGCACTTTTCGCCGGGTTCCCTTGTCCTTCTCTTGTCCCTCACTTGGCCTGCAGGTCTTGATGAAAAAATGGCTGTCACTCTACCCTCAACCATACCGCGTCGTTCGCCAGGTGACTGACGTTACATACCAGATCGTTCCAGCCGATCCAACGTCGTCATCGTCACCTTCTAGTGACATCGTGCACATAGCTCGACCCAAGCCTTATAACCCTCCTTCTACCGCATCCGAGTTACTCAAGCACCTAGATAGTGCTTCTACCAGCGGGGGATTATGATACACAGCAGCCGGCACAGGCTTGCTGCAAGAAAGAGAAAGACGACGTTGGTTGCTGGTTGTTGAACTGTCGCCATCTTGTTCGCCGAGCACGGTCCATCGTATATAATTTATTAAATAAGTTACTCGTAACATTATATTGTACTATACCCAAAACGTTATTATTAAGATTGCCTTTTACATAAACGAAAATAGCGAGACCACAATATAATGAGTGGCTGGATTAGCAGCAAGGCAATACTCATGTTTCTTCTGTCCACGCCTGTCGGGCGAGAGTTTCATCGGTGTGACGGGACGTTCTTCCAAGGATTTGTCGAGTTTCGACGCACCCTCACATAGTGGGTTGGAATCCTCACTTCCCCTACCTGGCCACGTCATCGCGTCGTACGCGCACGCCACGCCATCGCGGGTGGTAACTAGCTCTTACATCAATGCCTCGCTGTAGCTTCAAGCACTTAATAAATCTATCAATAAGTTCATCTAACACTTCAAGAAAATACTCATACTCTCGAAGGCTACAAAATATTTGAGGCTATATTGTTGCAGCGTCGTCTACAAGGCCTGAACATGCGGTGAAGACCTCGTTCAATTGAACTATAAAAAGAAAACGTTCGGCTATTTCGATCTAATCCATGAACCAGCCGGATCTGTAACGCAGTCACTTATCAAGAAGAGTCGTTCTTCAAGGTGCGCTGCTATGTCCCTTGGTATCCTGCGCTGGTAAAAGTAGTTATGTCGCCTAGTACCGTGTCACTTAACACAGTTGAAAGTTTCCTTCCTTTCCCTTCGTTTTGTGCTAAAAGCACGTTTTTGTCTGGTATACAGTACTGTAAGAAACGAGAACCAAATAGCAGGTACGTTTGAAAGATCCTATTTAACGAATCGCCGAATGACGCCCGCACTTCTGAAATTTGGATGTACCGTGCACTTGATGAAAATCAAGGACTTCGTGTAAACCTTGGCGTGAACCTCTGCCTCTATAGATAAGGAATTGAGAAATCATATGAACCTTGGAAGCCCTCCGCTCCCCCCCAAGTCACTCATTCACGCCACCTGGGGAACACTACCACCCTGCTGTTGACCTTGATGAAGTTGATGAGCTTGATTATGTTGACCTTTTGTTCATTCGTAGATATACATCTGCACTTCCCACCGCCATTGTAGCCACTACAGTGAAAGCTCGCTTAGTGGGTTTTCATGGAGCCACAAAAATATCTCAATTGACAATATTCTCCGAAATTGACATCTTTACTCGTTAATGATGAATACGTAAAGTATCTAGTTACTCTGGTAAGAGCCGTGTAAAACCACCACGTGTTCATGAGGTATGCTTTAGTGGAGGGTTCCAGAACTTTCGACCACCTAGGGCTTCTAACCTGTGCCCAAATCTGAGCCCACGGGCCTACAGTGATATTACCTCCATCGAAAATGCAGCCTATGATCTGCATCAAAAATGCAGACCACAAGAAAAAAAAAGGAATGGAATTCTACTGCCATGACACAGAAAACCAATGCGATGGTCAAATTTGCTCTTTTGGCATTCAGAATGATTTATCACATATAGGTCAAGCACCGAAAATAAAATGCTTGAAATGTGGCCAGAACTTGGCATAACTATTGACTCTGCCAGGATATAACGAGCAAATTGCTTGGAAAGTACGGCACTGGCAATTGTAAACCAAGGATCGTAAAATTCACGTTGTTTCTTTTAAAGGCAAGCAGCAGATTCTAGATCAAACGCCAGACCTGCGCGGAAGGCGCAGCAAAGTCAGAGCGAAAGCTATAAGAGAAGCCTTTTGAGTGTCTTTTCTAAACACTCATTGCGTAAATGCAGGAATCACCCTTGCTGGGAACCAACTACAGCATTAGTAAAATGATAATTTCCGCATAGTAGGGCGGCATTTGCTATGCTATTTTTCGTCCTTCTTTTGAGAAGCGCTGTATCCACTAAAAATTGCAAGGAATTTAGTGTCATTTGTTCGTGCAATGGCTGACGACGATAGGGATTCAGGCCTGAAGTGAGTATGCACTGCGGTTTATATGTAATCAAGAAGAAGCTTTTTAAACGGGTTCAAGCATTACACTACCTAACCGTTACGCTATTCGCAC